ACTTCTTCCTAAAAATCATGTGTCATATTTCTTGCTGTTGTTATAATCAACCATAGCTGATTGCATTTCAAACCCTCATATTTTTCCTCACTCACTGTCCATCACCAGACATCAGCCGCCTGGCTGACAACATACTGGCTGTCTGTATGTTAAATGTCAACAGAAACAACACCAGAAGCAGTGGAAACCACTCACTCTTAAAGAGTTTTTATTCCCGAGGCTGGTAGGCAGGCAGCATCATCGTCGTTTTTTTTTTTCTTGTTCTTCATCAAATCCTTTATAATTAGATGCGAATCAACGAACACACTTCTCTCGCAGCATGTTGCGGAAAAAAATAGACGACAGCCAGCCATACAACATGGGTTTTATCAAGCGGAAATGCACATGTGGAAGAGAAGACTCGAGGAACCGATAAAATGAAAAAAAAAAAAAAAAAAAAATACTGCAGACCATAGATGCTACATCATGGACATTACAATTAAATAAAATTGCCATAGAAAAAGAAAGATAATGGTAATGGTGTTGGTGGCCATGGAGAATATGCCTTAATGCCATGCCAATCTAATCCATCTGCATAAGGCAGGCCATAATAAATCTCTAGGAAAAAACCATGTTGAGATTGTTTTTATTACTTGCCAACAAATAAACAGCAACAAGTGTAGCATCACAAGACGAAGAAGAAGAAGGTTCTTTCTTTTCTTCTTTTTTCGTTCCATGGATGACATGCCAACAATTATTATTTGTTGTGGTATTTTGTATTTCACTCTCCTCTTCGTGCAAGGTTATCATTAAAATTTTGCAATGCTTAGGAGGCAAGCGCAAGACAATCATAATCGTTTTTTATGAAAATAAAATTGTAACAACGGCAGCTGTATTTTTGGGATGCAAGATCCATATCTAGCCGAGAATGAGAGCAAGCAAACACCCCAACATCAAAGCTACTTATGTGGCTAATAGTTTACCAAGAATTGCTAATGAAGCGTTTAAAAATCCATGGAGAAGCAAGTGTGAAGTATTTTTTTCTTACTACATCTTCATGGCAATGGAAATGCTATACATTTTCTGAAAATTTTATTTTTTTCCGCCTGCTACAATTGATGTATGACCGCCGCCGCCAAACATTCGTACGTCCGTCTGTGTTTGGCCAGAAAAACTAAGGCATAACCATTTATTCTAACATATGGCTGGCTGGCTGGCTGCCTGGTTGGCTAACGGTATAAATGCTAATGCCCGACACTATCTATAATCGTTAAAAACAGCCACAAATGTAGCAAAAGGAAAGAGATCAACAAAGCAACGGAAGCTTTGGCAAAGCCATACATCCTGCCTTTGTTTGATATAAAGATTTTCTTTTCGCTTTAATATCCAGGTCCAGCTTCAGCGTGTGTGTGATTGTGATGATGATGTGGTGGTGGTTGGTGGTAGTTTCGGGATGGCTTAAGCTTATTGACGTTGAATTTCCTTAACATTTTTGCGGAATTTATAGCTTCATGCAATCGAGAGCGATCGAGTGCAGTAAATGATCTGACACGCATCTTTTTGTTGTTCATGTTTTGGCCATGTGTAAGGCAAAAACAAAGCAAAACAAAAATAAAAAACGCTTACTGATGCTTTTGTTGTTGTTGGCGGTAAGTTAGGTGAAAGATTTCAATATCAGTTAGCACACATATCGATTGTCTGTTGCTTTGTCTCTTTTTTTTTATTTGTATGTATGTAAGCCAGAAGAGTGTTAAGCCTAGTTTAAGCCATAAATTTCCAAGATGTTTAAAAAAGAAAACTGAAATAGATCTTATGTGTCGGAGTTTGGTTTTTTTTTATGCAAGAGGGTATATGGCACATGGACATGTCTATCTGTCTTTTTATCTAACAAAAGGATAGATTTTTCATTTTCCATTTTTTTTCTGTTTGTATCGGTCCATAGGAAAGCTAGATTTCAATATAATTTAAAACATAAATATATTCATGGGAGAGTATTGAAATATTGAAAGTTCTGCTAAAAATTGTGAGCTTTTAAATGATGAAATTACGTATTTATTAAGTAGAATGAAAAAAACGAGCATGTGTCTTAAGTCTTTTGATTAAATGATGCCATAAAATTACCAAAATCCGATGTCATAAGTCCTTTGATTAAATTTTTGCACAAATTTACCCTATAACCCCGAAATGACAATATTTGTGTAGCTATGACCATTTTATAAAAGTCTTTTTTCCTCTTAAAATATATGTAATCAAAACGATGCGTTAACCCCGAAATGTCAATATTTAAGGAGTTATGAATATTTAAAAATAGCCTATTTTTGCTATTTAAATGTCTGCAATCAAAACTATGCTGAAAATACCTTTTTTGGTGAATAAATTAAAAAAAAAATAATTCCGGACAAAATATTATATTATGCATTCAAAAATAATAACAAAAACATAATTTTATTATTTATTTATTTTTTTTTTTTTTGGGAATACATGAAATTTTTCCCCTTCTCAACATAATAAACAAAATAGATAACCCCTCCACACCTCTCAACAAGTAGAAAAAATAAATAATTTATTTTACATTGATTATATGTGCACCTGAAAATCGTCAGTGGCCATATGGTGTCAGCTGAATTTTTTGGTTGTTGTTTTTTTTTAATTTTTAATTTAAGCTCCCAAGAGGTCCATCACCTTTGGTAAGTTTTGCGTAATTATTATAAGCCAACATCAGCAGCCATAACTGAGTGGCTCACTGGCTGACTGACTGACTGCATCACATAGGTATGGGCATTAACAATAATCAGAGATTACTCTGACTTATAACCAACCAACGAACCATGGAGGGGGTGCCCATGTTGTTAGAAGTCAAATTGCTGATGCTGATGGTTTTCCTAAGAAAAATAAAAATAGGCAGCAAAATAGACAGCCTGCCACCAGCATCAACGTAATATGTTTATAAAAATAAATGTTAAACTTGTTAGCTGTCAGTTTAAAGTCTAGGCAAATTATTTTTTTGTTTGCGGTCATATTTTCTTAATTTATTTTGTAATGGAAAATTGTTATGCAAACCATGGAAAGAAGATACACACACACTTTTTTTCCTAAAAGGAGACAAAGGAAGTGGGAAAATTGAAAAAGGAGGAAATAAATGTCTAACTTTTGGTGAAAAGATTTCTTCTGTGATATTTTAACGATTGTCCATAGAAGGCCCAGGTACGCATGACTTCATTGAGCGGAATTCTCTCCATGATCACACTGAAAATCATTGAAAACAATGCCCTCAGAGAGTAACAAAATTGGGAGAAAATAAAAATGCAATTCTATGCCAGGCCCTGCCTTAGAAAGAGTATTTTTTTTAAATAAATAAATTTTACTGCTTTAATTAAAATGACGCCTAAAAAACTAAAGACATAAGAAACGAACTTCAGAAGTAACATTTTTGCACTCTTAAAGAGCTTGTGTTATTATG